CCTTTTAGGATATGGCAATGGCTCTTTTGCAAATCAAACGACATATTTAACTGGCTCTGACCCAGTTGCTGTCGCTGTTGGTGACTTTAACAACGACACGCGACCGGATATTATCGTCGCTAATTTTAATGACGACACTGTAGGTGTAGTACTTCGGTATGACAGAGGAGCTCTGGAAGATAAAATCACATTTGCGCCTACCGATGGTTCTCGTTTGCGAAACTTTGCCCTTTTTGATTTCAATACTGATAGCCTATTGGATATTGCCGTTGTCAATTATGGTACTAATAACATAGGTGTCCTTCTTGGACATGGGAATGGCACTTTTGGAAATCAAATGGTGCTCTCAACAGGCTTAAATTCTCATCCTTACTCCATCACTATCCATGATTTCAATAGAGACGATCAAGCGGATATTGCCGTGGCCAATTATGGTACTAAAAATCTTGTTACGTTTCTTGGAAGTGGAAATGGAACATTTGAAAATCAAGGACGTTACGGTGTAGATTTCAATTTCGCTCCATTGATGATTGGTGCTGGTAGTTTCAACAAAGATGGGCGTTCCGAAATGTTCGTTGCATATGATGACAACGATTATGTAGATGTGCTGGTTACATACGACATCGGATCTTTCAGTCATGACATTAAATATTCGACTGGCCATTGGCCTCGATTTGTAGCTCTTGGCGATTTTAATAATGATACTCAACTGGATATCGTCATCGCTAATCAGTACGACAACACTGTAAGTATCCTTCTCGGATATGGAAATGGTTCTTTCACTAATCAAACGACATACTCAACTGGCTCTCAGCCATGGTCTGTAGCTGTTGGCGATTTTAACAACGACACCAATCTGGATATCGTCGTCGCTAATAGACATGACAACTATATAAGTGTATTTTTCGGATATGGTAATGGCTCTTTTACAAATCAAACGAAATATTCAACTGGCTCTGGCCCAATTTCTGTAGCTGTTGATGATTTTAACAACGACGCCAATCTGGATATCGTCGTCGTTAGTTGGGGTGACAACACTGTAAGCATCCTTCTTGGATATGCCGATGGCTCGTTTGCAAATCAGACGACATATTCAACTGGTTCTGAACCATACTCTGTGGCTGTTGGTGATTTTAACAACGATACTCGATTGGATATCGTCGTTGCTAATTTTGGTGACAACACTGTAAGTATTCTTCTCGGATATGGTGATGGCTCTTTTGCAAATCAAACGAAATATTCAACTGGCTCTAACCCAGAAGCTGTAGCTGTTGGTGACTTTAACAACGACACTCATCTGGATATCGTCGTTGCTAATGATGGTGACAACACTGTAGGTATCCTTCTCGGATATGGTGATGGCTCTTTTGCAAATCAAACTAACTATTCAACTGGCTCTGAGCCAACCTCTGTAGCTGTTGGTGATTTTAACAACGACACCCTATTGGATATCGTCGTCACTAATTGGGATGACAACACTATGACTGTCCTGCTTGGATATGGCAATGGTGTTTTTGCAAATCAAATGATCTATTCAACTGGCACTAGTCCTTCATCTGTAGCTGTTGGCGATTTCAATAATGACACCCGATTGGATATCGTCGTCACTAATCTGAATGAAGAGAGTATCAGTATATATCTGGGATATCCTAATGAAGGTTTTTTTAAGCAAATGAGACTCATAACTGGCAATGGATCTCGCCCTAAATCATTCGCCATTGGAGATTTTGACAATGATGGTCAAATAGATATTGCAGTTGCAAATTCAGGCACTAACAACATCAGTATTTTTCTGAGACACGCCAATGGTTGTTTCGGAAATCAAATGGCATATGCAACTGATTCCTCTCCGTGGTCAGTAGCCGTTGGTGATTTCAACAACGATACCCTACTTGATGTTGTCGTCGCGAATCTTGGCAGTGACAATGTTGGTGTATTTCTTGGGCGGGGCAATGGTTCATTTTCGAGCCAGAAAACGTTTACAACCGGTTTAAACTCTCAACCAAACGCGGTTGCTGTTGAAGATTTCAACAACGACACCTTGCTAGACATTATTGTCGCTAATTATGGCACAAACAACATAGGTGTGTTGGTTGGTTATGGGAATGGCTCTTTCGCAAGTGTCAAGTTTTTTTCAATCGGTTATGGATCTCTTCCATTCTCAATTTCCGTTCGTGATTTAGATAATGATGGGAAATTGGATTTCGTCATCGCCAACGAAGGTGCTGACAATTTAAACATTTTTTTACAGACCTGTTAATATTGCCACTGCTCGTTTAAGCTTTTTTTTTCATTGATTCATTATTCCTAACTTCTACTTAGCACTACTAATATTTCTTCTAACTGTTTTTGTGTGTGAGTATACGCTGAGAATTAAAATATTTTACATCGAGATAAGAAATATCAAGTGAAGCTATGGCAATACGTCTGAGTTTGACAAAGAATTTCGTCAGATGTATGACATGGATATGCCAAGCACATGATGATGTGTTTCGCTCTTGCTTAATGCTCTCATCATATGATTAGGCAAGAGTTTCTTTTTGAGTGATATTACGATCGTAGAAACGAGAAATAATCTACAATTAGCTTTTATAGTTTTTTTCGAGACATAGAGGAAATTATATTTGACTGTTAACGTGTTCCGGTGCGGCGTGGCGAATAAGGGGATAATTGTTTGTATGGGGCACCAGTATTCTTTTGTATAATCTGATTCATTGTGGGTGTGTATAAAATTGATTTTTTAGATTACCAAGCATCCTTACGACGCGTTTCGGTCTTGATTAATGGCCACTCATCAGTTTTGTCATAACTATGATTTGCTTACAGTGATTGCTTATATATTGCTATTACGTGTTTGCGATTATTGTTTGTAGACATTGTGTTGATTAGTATATATCTAGAATATATGATAGTATGAAATACGTCTAGTTTCAAAGTGAACATATATCAAATGAAAGAAAGAAAAAGGAGAAATAACGAAACATGAACTAGAAGATGGTACCGGTTCACATGTTCAATGGTCAAATATCTGAGCTTAAATAATGAAAAATGTAATAAATGGTTGTATTCGACATTTTGCACGTATTTAAGAGAAAAATAAACAGGAAGAAAAAAACAATGTTTATCTAGTAACAAGATTTAATTATAATAACAGAATATCCTCTATTGAGAACAAAACTGAGAAAGAAGCGAATAAACAGGAAGGAAACACTCTTCACAATTGGGATGCCTGAAAGAAACAAATGTTAATGATTAAACCGTTCTTTCATTGTTGTACGAGCTGCTTCTGTAGTTAGTTGCATCCTGGTCAACATATCTTGTGGAGGCTATCTGCGTATCAAAAGACTTTGTAAAGTACGATTTAATATTGTACCAAGAATTGGTCGTGTATTTTTGAAATGTGATTCTGGATAAACAGAACTTTTGCCATATTTGATGAAATTCTTTTTTTGAAATTTAATAACGGTCCATTTTCGAACGTGTAATGAATATAAATTTGATCTTTATGTTCATAGTTTTTCGTTTTTCCAATTAATTGACCAAGACTCGAGATTTGTGTTTTGTTTTCTCTTTTTGTTGGTCTGTAAAGTAACATATTATGCAGTTGTTGATGGACTTCACTGTTTAATTCAGTCCATACACTCATAGAATCATATTTAACAAAGAATGTTTTTTATATGATGTTGTATAAATTTTGGTGGATAACCTTTAACTAGTAATATCATTTCTGTACTTAATCGTTCCATATCAAAATCTTCCACATTGAAACAGCTACTTGCAGCTCTCACTAATGCAGTATAAATTATATTCGCATGAACGTGTCTTGGATGATCAGACTCATAAGGTAGAATATAGGTTTCTGAAGCTGATTTATGATAAATAGATATTTTTAAATGTCCATTATTGTTTTCAATAGTAACATCAAGATATTCTAATGATTGGCTGATAGTAGTACTAATTGTAACATTTGAATCTGTTGTAATTGTTTCATCAAATTCTTTCAGAATATCTTCTTTGGATAAATTAGTTGTCATAAATACATCCTAAATATATCTATAAATATTTATGATTATTAGAGTAATAAAAAAAGTAACTAATAAATGCAAAATTAACCGTCCATAAATTTCATGATGTCTATTTTGGTATTGAATTAATTTTTGCGCTCATTCTAACATATAAATATTTGCTAAAAACAGTAAATGGTGAGCCCATGGCGCCACCTTTAATTGATTAGATGCCTTATTTGAATTTCAGGATATCCCT